ACCAGGAGGAGCGCTCGCTTGCGAACTCGGCCAGGAGGCGGTCTCCCTTTCTTCCGCCTCCTTCTGCGTCTTCTTGAGCAGATCCTGCTGCTCTGCCAATTGTGCGGCCAGCTGATCGCGCTCTGCGGCGAGCTTGCCGCACTCCTCCTCCTTGGCGCGCAACGCGGAGTTGGCTTTGCTCAGCTGCTGTTGAAGAGCAGCGTTGGCTTTTGAAGAGAAGGAAGAAAGAAGGCGTTAAGTCATCAATAAAGGAGGTTGCCGGGGAGATCCGGCCCGACTGCTCAGCAGTCGGCCCGAATCTCGGGGACTACAGCCCGCGGGTGCGCCAGCGCGCCCCCGCAAAGAAGAAAAAGGACTCACTCCGGCTCTCCGACAAGTCGGCGGTCCGCTTGCCCAGCTCTTCAACGTTGTGGTTGAAGGCAGTGACACGGAGGTTGTGGTAGTCCTGCGACAAGTATTTCAGACAAAAGTTAGTACCCGGAACTCACCAATTGAAAGTTTCGGGCCGCCTGCTCAGCAGTAGGTCCGAAACTCGGGGACTACACCCAGTGGGTGCGCTGGCGCGCCCCCACAGAGAGGAATAAGAAAACAAGGACCAACGAGAAAGCATACTCGGACGGCTGCCCACGATGCCAGGTACGCCTTGGTGCAGTTCTGGATGGCGTCGCACTCAGCTCGCAGCTTCATCTGGACGTCCAGAAGCGCCTGGTTCAGCGGCCCCGTGCCACCTCCTCGCACCCACCCAATGGGCGCGGCGCTCGTCGCTTCGGCATCTGGGATCGCCGAGCTGGCGGTGCCGGCCTCCAGGGGGCGTGGCGCCGAAGTCGCCTTCTCAAGACGGCGGCGCGTTGGCGCGCCGACTTGAAGGAGTAGCCTTGCCACGGCCTCATCTTCAGTCGGCGGCACCGGCGGGTCCGCCGGCTGTTTGCCTTGCGCGCTCCCAGACGGCGGTGGAGGTGGCGGCGGAACGATCACGTCCGGCATGGAGGAGTCGCCGCCTTCCCTCTCCATGATGGGGTTCTCGCCGCCAGCTTCCCCAGACTGCCCCGTGAACTCCGGAGGCGGCGGCGCAGAGTTCAGCGGGGTGACGAACACCGCCGATTGGCGGTGCGCGGCCTCCTCAGCTTGCCGCTTTGTCGCGACGGTGGCTTCGGCCTCCGCCAGCTTCTTTTTGGCGGAGGCCTCCGCCTTCTCGGCCTCCACCTTCTCCAGGCGGGCAGCTTCTTCCTCATTGCGCTTCTCCTGCGAGTTCCGCTCCGTCGCCTCTCGGAGGTCAGCGGCGGGGTCAATCCGCCGAGTGGTGGCGGACGTCTCCGCTGACCCCATGACGGAGGCGGCGACAACCCTCTCAAGAGTGAGGGGAGCCCTGAAGCGAGGGAAGCAAGTAAAAGACTCAGACAAAGTGACAAAGAAAGAATAAAGCGTTAAGACGGAATACTCACGCGGAGACCAGTGGCGGCTTCTTTACTTCCTTGCGGAAGCGGCTGGCCTTCGCGGTCGCTTCGTCCCGCTTGGTCGCCGCAGCCGAACTCTTGGGCTTCTTCGGCCGACTGCCGAACAAGGTCGGCACAGCCCTGCGCTTCTTCCCGCCGCCTGGAGCACCCGACGCGGCAGAAGAGCCCGCGCCGGGATAGCTAGCTCCTGGCCGGTGGCGGGGGGCGACCTCCTCATCATCATCAGGCCAGTCCTTTGGACTGGCCCCGAGCCGCGGGCCGCCTCCTCCCTCGGCGTCGTCTTCCAAAGCCGCCGCCCCCAGATCGGGGTCGTCGACGTCGCTCTCCGCCCGATCGGCAAGGAACTCGCGGGCCGGCCCCGTGGTGCCGGCTGGTGGATGGAGGAGGGGATTCTGACCAAAGCCGACTGGTCAGGTCGCATAAAACAAACTCGGCAAGAAAGAAGACAATTCAAAGAAAGAAAGAAAAGGCAACTCACTGTGGGTGGGGGGTTGGCGCGGGAGTACGGCTCCTTGCCGAACCGCCAGTCCTCCAGGAGCTTGCTGTCTGAGAGGTAGTTCACCACGTAGACCACCTCCTCGTGAGGCATGTCCTTGGTGCACATCCGATTCGGGTCACGGTGCCCGCTCATTTGGCATATCATGTGGGGGCGACCTTGGAGCGGGAGAACTCGGCGCGCCACGAAGGCAGCCAGCAGGTCCGGACCAGTCAAGCCCTGCGACTGCGTCAACACTCGGAGTCGCGTGACGGCGCCAGCTCCCGCAAGCGTCAGCGACTTGGCCCGGTACGACCAGTTGGGCAGTCTCCCAGCCGGCGGGCCGGCTTCGAAAGCCGGCAGGTTGACCCAATTGCCCTTCACGAAGACGCTCTTCACGTAGAAGTACGATCGCTGCCACATCTTCACCGACTTTATCAACTTGATGGTGGGGAAGGGGTTGTCGGCCCCCGACCTCCGCACGGCGATGAACGCGCCGCACTGAGCCGGCACGCCTGCAGCCTGGGTGCCGAGCTTGGAGTAGAAGAACTCCCCCCAGAGCTCGAGGGTGGGGAGGACTCCGAGGAAGCCTTCACACATGGCCACAAAGGCGGACAACAGCACCACCGTGTTGGACGTGAGGTGGTGCGGCTGGAGGCCGTAGAACTCCAGAAAGGAGCGGAAGAAGCTGCTCGCCGGTAGCCCCAATCCGCGCAGGCAGTGCGAGTGGAAGATAACCCGCTCGCCCTCCTCCGGCGCCGGAGAGATCTCCCCCCTCGGTGCAAGGCGTACCCGCACGTAATCTTCGCCGGGGAGCCGACGAGTCTTGCGCAGGAACTCGATGTGGTCGTCATGGACTTCTGAGCCATCCCAGGTGCCGGAATGCACCGAAGGAGGCGCGGCGGCAGAAGAAGAACTCATCGTGAGCGGGTCGCCGCGGCGTTCGGCAAAGCTTGGGCGCGCGGCGATGCGAGGAAGAAGAAGAAGAAGAAGTGAAAGGAGTAGCGTGGAGGAGGGACGCGCGTGCTCTGCCGCGCCCTCCCTCCTCCCCCTACTTATAGCCTCATGGGCTGCGAAGCCGAGGGGGCGGTCGTGGGATTTACTGCGCCCATGACTCCACGACCCTCACGTTTCCACGACAAAAGTTACTGCGCGCAGTAACTTCACGGGAATCCCAACCGTCCGCTCAGGCCACAGCGGATCCGCCCGAGCGTCGAGGCGCGGTAATGGCGGGCCCCGCCTACGGGCCTGTCCCATCACGCGCGTAGGCTGGCAGACTGGCCCGGCCGCGTGTTGCCACGTGATAGGCCCGAAACGGGCGGCAGCCTGGAAGCCTAGCCAGCACGCTACTTGGATCCCGCCGCGACGTTCGAAATATTGTGCAAGTCAGAGTTGGGCGAGTTCGACTCCTTCTAGTCGGCTCGGCAGAAGTCAAGCAAGATCCATGTCTCGGGCATCCGGAAAGAGAAACTGCTGAGGCTCCTCGGCCGATCGTCCGCGGCGCCTCATCAGCTTCGGGGACTACTGTCGGAGTAATGGGCCACGGGTAGGCTAATCCGAGTCCCAGAACCTTTCAAGACATCGGGGAAGGCCGCGCCCCTCAAGACCCCAGGACAAAGAGCCACCTTCTGAGAAGTCAGCGGCAAGGCAACCGACTAGCCACTCGCGGCCGAGTTCCAGGAACAACTTCAGGATAAGCCGACTTCTGACTGACGACTTCCCGAGAAGCCGGTCTTGGGGAATCGGCCCGCGACTCCAACAAACCCCATGTCCTCATCAAGAGGGACAGGACAGTGGAGTGGCTACAGTGAAGCCTGCTCTCACCCCTTTCCAGAGGTAGGCATGGCCACAGTACGCCGTACCCGCGGGGATCTCCGTGGGGCGTGGCACTGTTGCCATGCCGGCCCTGACATCAGCACCAGTGGACCAAATCCTGCGCCCACGGCGGCTTGTCTGTACGACCCTGGGGCGGCGGGTCCCACCAGCCAGCGGGACCCCAGAAGACGGCAAGGGCGCCACCAGTCGGACCCGTTGGGAGTCGGCCCCCGAGAGTCGGCCAGCCCCTCCCCCGGGGCCCACGCGCCATTAACCAGATGTGACGGAGAGTGGCAATAGTGATCGCCCGTCAAGCGGCAGGGCTGTTGTCACGACTCCATGACCAAGCCCGCGTCATTAGAAGCACGGCTACACTAATCAGCAGCCGGTAAGACCCGCCCGCGGCGGACGCGGCCTATCGGCTCCGTACCGAGCCAGTCGACGGGGCCCACCAGTCGGCGGGCCCCAGCAGTCGTCGGAGAAGACGGAGGCCGGAGGCACTGACGGCTGGGCCCGCGCCCAGCCGAATTACCATTGTACCCCTGGGGGTGGTAGGCCTATATAAACCCCCAGGGCACCCATGCAAAGGGTTGGAATCCATTAGCACTAGACCAGATGATATAGGAAGGAGGGAGCTAGCCTTGCCTTCTCCTACCTCCAGGAAACAGCTCAAGGAGCAACCGTGTAAACACTTTGGCATAGTGATCATGCGGAGACCCCGTAGAGCAGCAGTAGGGGTATTATCTCCCCGGAGAACCCTGAAACTGGGTAAGATTTGCCGGCGTGCATGTCTTCGCCTCATCCCGTTTCCAGGCATCGGCGACGTTCTACTCGCCCCCACCATGATAAGCCATTCTTTGGCATATGTCGCATCCAACCCCCGACAATGTGATTGACCGTAACTATTATTTTACAGGTCTTTGTTTTTTTTTCCTCTTAAAAAGCATATACAGGATAATGTGGTGTAATGAGCGGCTATAGCCGCCCCATGCGCCGGAATTTTAGCCGGCCAACCGGCGCTCTAGCTGTGGCCTTTGGACAAGGGGTTAAGATTACAAGACGCTGAAGATGAAGTGATTCCATGCAATCATCGAACATATAATTTCTTTTATAAATTTACAAAATGCTTAGAGAAAACATCAACTTTTGCTTTCAACTCTGCCTGATTGAACTAGCAGAAACAGCGGATGTCATCACTCTAGAATCAACCCAAGGACAAACAAAACGAAACATTGGTGCAGTGCGGCTGCTGAACCCTACTTTCCAATCTTGGAGATGAGAGATTCAAAAGCCCCAACCAGGGACTTGACCCTGCTCCTCCTGCTCTTGGCCAGCTTGCTCGCCGTCTCCTCGATCAGGTTGTTAGACAGCCTCCGGCTCTTCTTCCTCTCCAGCGTCTTTTGGTGCCTCAGCGTCAACTCCGGCACCACGAAGCCCGCGTGTGCGCCGCCGGACAGGCCGCTCCCTCGCCTCCGCAGGCTCCTGGCCCTGAGCTGGATGCCGCCGCTGGACTCCTCGCCGGCTGCTCTCCCCTTTCTGAACCTGAGCCGCGTGGGCTTCTCTTGTTCGGATGGGAGGACGGGTGCCGTGCTGCTCTTGGAGCGCAGCTTGAAGGTGGCCGAGTTATTGGTCGCTTGTCGGGTGAACGGGAAGCGCACCGATCGGCTGCTGATGCTCATGCTCTTGGCCCTCCGATGTGCCCTGCTTGATTCAGCAATGGCAGCACGCTCTTCTTGGTCAGGAGTGTAGAGTGACTTCCCCTGCTTAACATCACCAGTTGTGTCACCCTGGACAATTTCCTTGTTTTCGACGGGCAGTGTCATGGGTTTCTTCGCTTTCGGTGGCTTTACACTCTCTGTTCTCTTGCCAGCCTCCTTCTTGTCAGCGGCGGCTTGAGGCTTCTTGATGGAGGCCTTCCCGGTGAGCGTCGACCTGACGGTCTTAGCCAGCCTCTTGTTCAGTGATTCGGTTGGGTTCTTGACAGGAGTCTCCGGATGGGTGGTCTTGGCAAATGGTGTTTTCCCCTTCATCACATCCCTCTTCTTCTTCCTCCCATCAGGTTGTTGATGAGATGGTCCATCGGCAGGAGCAGGAGCTGGCACTGCGTCATAGGCCACGATGTCCTTCCACTCAACAACAATCTCGCTCCCACCGGCCGGCGTATCGGCCTTGTCGGGTTTGCTGAAATCTACGACACGCCTACGTGACACCGACCGTACCTTGACCAGCCTTCTCTTTTGGTTCTGGTCATCCGAAGCTGATGGCTGCTGCTTCTTCCGGGGTTTGGGTTGGGTCCTTGGAGCTTCCTGTTTCTCCACGAACGCGTGATGGCCGCCGTGCTTGCACGCATCGTGGCACGACCCGGTCGATGGCCGAAGATAGTTGGGGACGGGCTTGGCGCCGCCTTTTCCAGTCATGACCTCCATCGGTGACAATTGATTCCCTCCCTCGATCCAGCTGATTTCTAATTCAGTAGACTCAATCTGAAACAGAGTGCTAGTATTAGGTGAGCAGCTAACTAGTACGTATGCACGACGCAGTTGATGAGAAAATACAAGCACGACTGCTTGATTATTAGGGCCAAAAAGGTATCCCTAATTTCCGTGAACCAACAGGCCGTGTCACCAAAAGAAGCTAGTAGAAATCAAGCAGGGACAGCAAGAACTCACCGATGCCCGCTTCACTCGCCGCGCTCCATTCTTCTGGACCAAAGCCAGAAACAAATAGCAAAATCCTGCTAAGAAGAAGAAGAAGAAGAAGAAGAAGAAGAAGAAGAAGAAGAAGAAGAAGAAGAAGAAGAAGAAGAAGAAGAAGAAGAAGAAGAGGCTGTTCTTGTTGATTTCTCGGTGGACTGGTCAAGCGGGCCTGGTGCTAGCGCAGGTCAGAACACGCCGGTGAGGCGTATATGTAGGTCTACCATGCGCATGTGGTAGGAGACGATCGGGCCAAGGAAAGGAGATGAATTGATGGTGTCGGTGTTGGTGGTAGCTGAGCTTCATAATTCCTCCTTTAACTAATGTGCTTGAGACTCGAACAAGGAAGGAAGGAGCTTGTTCAACCAGAACCAGGCGAGGGAGGAGGCGGTCAAATACGGCGGGAGCAAGTGCTTGATTGGATCCATTTGAATATGACGTGGGAAAAGGTTAGGCGGGTTCTGTTCTGACTACTAGTCTTCAGGACCCCACACGCAAGTCCCACCTTAGAAAACTCTGCCCGGTTTCAATTTTCGATAAAGACCATTTTTATTGACTCAAAATGTAGCAATCAATCGGATACAAAACATGTTGAGTATCATCCGGCCTCTACATAACTAAAATGCACACAACTAAACAAAAATAAACTAAAAGAAGATAAAAAAAGCGACATATCTACAACAGCAGGATCATATAGGACCGACACTATGCTAGGTCGAAGGAGGTGGTGCACCAATCCGGAGATTATGCTGTCACCCATGCTGGGTGAAGACCTCAAACCGCGTACGCACTGCCTTGAACAATGTTTGATACATTGTTCGGTGTAGTGTAGACCACGTACAAATCAAGTGTGTACAGCGGAAAACAACCTGCAAAGGAGAGGTGTTTTTGCCCTCGAAAATCAAATCATTTCCACATAGTCAGAGAGTGTTTTGAACCTATTTGAAATTCCGTCCAACCAATGACCAAAAATATTAGCAACACTTGTGGGCGGATATAAACTGGACGCTATTTGGATGACTGACCATGCTGAACACGCAAACTTGCATTGAAAAAAGAGGTGTTTGATTGTCTCTCATGAGTATGAAAACTACACTTCTTACTTTCGTGCCAATTGCGATGGGAAGATTGTCTGTGGTTAGCACAACTCCTCTTCGAAGATACCACATGAAGATTTTAACTTTTAGTGGAATTTTCATCGTCCAAATTTTCTTGTTATTATCCACTGGGACCTCTGAATGCGTGAGCGCATGGTATATAGAGTCAACTGTGAAGGACCCAGATGTAGTGAGGTTCCAGCGAAACACGTCCCGTCCATGTGTCAGGTTAATCGACTCCAATTGAGATAATAGATTTTGCCATGACATAAGACGAGGGCCAATCAAATCCCGCCTAAAAGAAATATTCGGCGGGAATGAACTAAGCACCTGCACTAGAGTATCATGCTTATCACGAACAATGCGGTACAAAGCTAGATATTGTTCTCGGAGGCTGGCATTGCCTAGCATGTTGTCCTCCCAGAAACGAATCTCTGGCCCATCTTTTATCGCGAAGGATCCAAAGCAGAAAAGGTTTTTCTTTGCCACCATTAGACCAGCCCAAAAGTGTGAGTCACCAGGTTTCCAATAGGCCCGTGACACAACTTTTTGGCCTAGATACTTATTACACAACAGGGCTTGCCAAACGCCATCCTCAGTAAGTAGTTTGAACAACCATTTACTAAGTAAGGCATCATTCCTGACCTGAAGGTCATGAATGCCAAGTCCATCTTGGTCTTTCGGCCTAGAAACCACGCTCCATTTGGCAAGCCTATATTTTTTCTTTTCACTGTCCCCTCGCCAAAAGAATCTGGATCTGAAATAATCCAGCCTCTGCAAGACCACTTTTTGGGAGTTGGAGAAAAAGATCATATAGAGAACCATATTTGTGAGGATCAAGTTGATTAAGACCAGTCGTCCTCCAACGAAGAGCAACTTGCCTTTCCAGCTGCTCAACCGTTTCTCTAAGCGCTACTCTACATGTTTCCACTTCGCTTTCCAAGGCCGCACCACCACACGCTCATGGCAGCGAACACAACAACCATATGGTTCTCAGTTTGAGGGTGCACCACCTAGGAACCCACATGCCTCGACGACTTCCTCACCTGCTATTCGCAATCAAGATAAGAGGCCATCAGCTACAGCAGGAGTATCCTCTGCTCCACCTCCGGAAAAGAGTTCTACACGCATCAGCGACATTCGATGCCACAAGTGCAAAGGAAGAGGTCATATTTCTTCGGAATGTCCAAGCAAACGAACTATGATAATCAATGAACGAGGTGAATGGGAGTCTGAAAGTGACCCTGAAGGTGGCAATAATGAAGTGGAAGAGGAGCGAGGTTGGGAAGTAGGAGGAACTATTTTATCTCACGAAGAACTTCATGGTGAAGCTTTGGTTGTATGTCGTCCACTTAATGCCCAAGTTGTGGAGGGGGAAAAGGGGCAGCGACATAATCTTTTCCACACTCGTCGCCTTATCAACTCAAACATATGTCGAGTGATTGTTGATAGTGGCAGCTGCAACAATATTGCAAGCACGGAGATGGTCGAGAAGCTTCAATTGCAAACAAAACGACACCCACATCCATACCGCATGCAATGGTTGAATGATTGTGGCGCAATTAAGGTGATTAGCAACGTGCGAATACCAATTTCAGTAGGGACATATCAAGATGATGTTGAGTGTGATATGGTGCCGATGCATGCTTGTCACTTGCTTCTTGGACGACCGTGGTTGCATGACCGTGATGTGCAAATCAGCGAGCGTGCGAATCGCTTATGTTTTGTCCATAGAGGAGAAAAGTTCACTTGGCTGCCCATGACACCTGAGGAAGTCTATCTTGATGAGATGCAAAGAAAAAGGAAAGAAAAAGGGTGAGAGTGATCATACACAACGAGTGAGCCACCAACATAGTGAGGGAGTGTTTCCACATCCAAAAGCTCCACAGCCAAATATGACCAAGCCCCGGGAAAAAGAGGGATTAGTTATGACAGCTAGGAAAAGGGATATGGGGGAATTGAGAGAACCTAATACTCCATTCTTTGTACTCCTGTACAAGGAAACTTTCTTGGCTGCTAACGATTTACCCTCAACTCTTCCTACTGTTGTTCTTTATCTTTTGCAGGAGTATGAGGATGTGTTTCCCAAGGAGGTACCACCTAGTTTGCCACCGAAGCGGGGCATTGAGCACCAAATCGACTTGGTTCCGGGCGCCCCACTACCAAACCGGCCAGCGTATCGAGCAAACCCAGAGGATATGAAGGAAATTGAGAGGCAAGTAGAAGATCTTCTTAACAGAGGGTATGTAAGGGAAAGTCTTTCTCCTTGTGATGTTCCCATAATTTTAGTTCCAAAGAAAGATGGTACCATGCGCATGTGCACTGATTGTAGATCCGTTAACAACATAACTATGAGATATTGGCACCCTATTCCTAGGCTCGATGACATGCTTGATGAACTTTGTGGCTCCACCATATTTTCTAAAATTGATTTGCGAAGTGGTTACCACCAAATAAGAATGAAAGAGGGTGACGAATGGAAAACTACTTTTAAGACAAAATTTGGCTTGTATGAATGGTTGGTTATGCCTTTTGGATTAACGAATGCACCTAGTACTTTCATGAGATTGATGAATCATGTCCTTAGATCCTTCGTTGGAAAATTTGTAGTGGTTTACTTTGATGATATATTGATTTATAGCAAAACTTTGGAGGATCATGTTGTACATATAAAATGTGTGCTTGCTGTCCTACGGGAGGAAAAGTTGTATGCTAACGTGGAAAAGCGCACATTTTGCACTAACAAGGTTGTGTTTCTTGGCTTTGTTGTTTCAGCAAAAGGTGTGGAGGTCAATGAAGAGAAGATCAAGGCTATTCATGAGTGGATGGCTCCATAAAATGTGAGCCAAGTACATAGCTTCCTCGGACTTGCCGGTTTCTACCGCCGGGTTGTGAAGGATTTCAGCACCTTTGCTGCACCCATGAATGAGTTAACGAAGAAAGACACTCCATTCCAATGGGGTGATGCCCAAGGCAAGTCCTTCCAAGAACTGAAGATGAGATTAACATCAGCCCCATTGCTTTCACTTCCTGATTTTGGTAAGACATTTGAGATTAAATGTGATGCAAGTGGTGTTGGCATTGGTGGAGTACTCATGCAAGAAGGTAAACCCATCGCCTATTTTAGTGAGAAGCTTAATGGTCCAACTCTTAATTATTATGTCTATGATAAAGAATTGTATGCACTTGTTCGATCTTTGGAAACATGGCAGCATTACTTGTGGCCAAAAGAGTTTGTAATACATTCTGACCATGAATCTTTAAAACATCTAAAGGGCCAACTAAAACTGAACCATAGACATGCAAAATGAAGTGAGTTCATAGAGTCTTTTCCTTATATTGTCAAGTACAAGAAAGGGAAGGATAACGTTGTTGCCGATGCATTGTCTAGGCATCACATTTTACTTTCCCAATTTGATGTTAAAATCCTTGGTTTAGAAAGAATCAAAGAATTGTATGCTACCGACTCATACTTTGTTGAACCATTTTCAAAGTGTAACAAGGGAAAAGGATGGGAGAAGTTTCACTTGCATGATGGATTTCTATTTCAAGCTAACAAATTGTTCATCCCAGGTTGTTCTGTTTGTTTGTTGCTCTTGCAGGAGGCTCACGCTGGTGGTCTCATGGGATATTTTG